CCTCCCCCTCCTTCAAAATATCACGGAGGTTGGTCAATAGGGAGGGGAGTTACCATACACACATACATACATAAATACATACAATACATATAATACACACAATACACACAAACAAACAAACAAACAAACAAACATGCGTACATACATACATACATACATACATACATACATACATGCATGCATACATACATACATACATACATACATACATACATACATACATCTCTCTCTCGGAACGCAGCGAGTCCAGGTTCGCCTAGCTGTCATTGCAGCAATGCCCATTTGAGCATCGGCACCTCTGTGGGTGCTAGTACTGCTACGCCTCTAACGGATGCTAGGCCACAGCGGCCGTCAGCATCCTCTCATCCGCGTTTTCATCGGCATGATGAAGATCATGCGCCTCAAGCGCTCTGCATAGTAGCAGATAGGAGTCTTGCGGCAGAACAGATTGCACGACAGTGGCAGCCGGACTGCATGCAGGAGTGCAGTCATTGGTGTACCACAACTTTTTGCCATGTTGTAGCACACTCCGGTAGTGCCCGGATGTCACTTTTGGCCCATGATGCATAACGACCGCCGTAGCCTGAAAGGGAAGATGAGAGACTTCAAGAGAGACTTCATCATCAAAGATTGGCATGAGGAAATCATGAAGGACATGAAGCACTGATCGGCTGTCCTTAACATGGCGTCGTCGAGCTCCCTTGCCGGTGGCATTGAACCTCAAGAGCTGAAGCCAGAAGCTCGTTGTGCCCCGAGTGAGGGCATGCACAGAGGGCTGGGTGTGCCACTGATCAATGCAGTCTTGTAAGGATTCTGCACCTGTGATGACAAGCTGTATGGGACCCATGTCAGTGGCACCATAATCACGAATGCAGAGTAAGTCGTGTTCGAATCGGCGCGCCTGCCAAGATCCCCGAAAGCAGGACAGTTTGAGCCTGGGAAGAAGGTGCTGTAAGAATTCAGCGGCATCTGACTGGCGTTGCCAGTGAGGCCACGGATTGACCAGCATAACCCAGGGAAAACATTTCCCGGGCTCACTGGCTGAGGGCACCGTGCCGTGCAAGCCCCGAAGGGCCCCCAACTCAGCAGGGCACGCAACCTGAAGGCAGGCAAGATGATGCAGCAGAACCAATACAAGACAATTCATGTAGCAGGCAGTGCCTCGCGGATTGGTCAAGACCAGAGCAGTCGCATGAAGGCCAAGGCATGATGGAGGACGAAGAGGAGGAGGAGGGGGCGAGGCAGAGCTCACCAATCCTCCTCCCAGAGGAGATCCTGGATCGATTGGGTGAGCTGAGACCGATAAGGTCGATCGCGACGAAGTCGAGCCGCAAGCAAGTGGAGGATGCCCGAGTTTATGAGGCCATTCAGCTTCTGCCACATGACATCTCCGGAGGTCCTCAACTCGATGTCCGGACGGAACTGCACCCACTCGGTGTTGTAATGGCCGCTCGGATTGAAGGGCCGCACCGACTTGAAGTTCCTGATGGTATCGCCGCTCAGGCGCGATTCGATCTCGCCGATGTCCTGCATGAGGGAGTCCGTCGTCCTGGATTCCACCATGGGGACAAGCTCCTCGACTTCTCGGGTCGGGTTCCAACGCAGATAATTCCATGCTCCCTGGCTGTCCGTCCAGCCCATTTTCTGGGCCTTGGCTTGCATGTCGCTGCTGGTCTGAAAGGCCTTCACACGGCTCCGAAGTTCTTGGAGCAACTCGCGAAGCATTGTTTCGCGAAGGCTCATGCTGAGTTTGCCCGGCTCGGTCTCCATTATGGTCCGCCAGCGGGTTGCGACTCGTTGGACCAGTGGCAGCACCGAGGCCGGCGGTGCCGGCCGAAAATAAAAGTGAAGTCGGACGTCTTGCATGATCATCTGCATTTGCGACTCCTGGCGCAATGCAAGGCGTGCAACTTGATAAAGAAGATGTGCGCCACTGTAGCTCGGTGTCCAATCCTCGTCTGGGCGCTGCCTCTCTCGCTGAAGCCCGTGATTGCTCAGCCCGCCGAAAGAATCCGACGAGGGTGGCTTGGACTTGCCCCGACCCTTTCCTTTGCCCTTGCCCTTGCCCTTGGTCGACGACGGCCTGATCCACAGGATGCATGGGGTCGTCCACCGTCTCCTCCGGATGTCCGGGCGATGTCCATGACGAGGCCTGAGGAGTGGCAGGGGCCTCTGCCGGATGGCAGACTGAGATGAGGTCCGAGAACATCGCGAGTTCCTGGTCCTTTGCGGACTGAGGAAGATTGCCTTGGCGAGCTTCCGAGGGCAGGCTCTGCGAGGGAGTCTCGTCTGCTGGTGGAGGTGCCATGACCGCTCGCGAGGATCTCGAGAAAACAGCAGGATGTGATGACGTGGCAGCGTTTCCAGTGCGATTGCAGATCAAGTTTCTGTGTTAGGCAGAATGGACACGGTTTGCTGAGTGCTCTGCGAACTCTGCGAAAAACTGCTGCTCGAGCAAGAATGTCGGGCCAGGCAGCACTCCACTCGGGATGGTTGGCCGACAAATGCACTTTAACACCTGCCCCCGTAGAGCACCACTGGCCACAAAGGAGGCAATGGTGGCGCAACTCATCTCTGAGCGCTGCGCTGGTAAGTAGGCTCTGCCATCCTGAGCTTCGGACCTGAGCCAGAACAGATGCTCTAGAGGCAATAGGGGTAACTGAGGCCTGGCCAACCTGCCTTTGCCGGAGGCGGTCCGTGGTCTGCACGGCAGTGCCAGAGCCTGGAAGAGTCAAGGCAGGGGCAGAGCAGTCAGCAGCTACGGTAGGGGCGGCGGTGATGGAAAGCTCAGAAAGCTCAGGAGCAGGCACAGAGGATGGCTCATCGGTGGTGCAGGGGACAGTCAGGGCATTGTGAGGTAGAGTAGGATGTGGAGGCCCAGAGTCGGTAAGAGCCACATCAGGCGTGGCAGAGGCGGTGGTGATGTCAGGACAGAAAGTAACACAGCGTCTAAGCTGTATGTGGTCTGCCAATATCGACCATCGCGTAAAGTGTTTGCCGCACAACGCACACTGTGGCATCCCTTGCAGCGAGTGTTGTTGACGGTCAAAAGAGGGACCATCGGGAGCAGACTCGGCAGGACGACAAGGAACATGTGAGGCTTGGTGCACTCGGAGGGTACGAACATCCGAGAAGTCTCGACCACAGGTGGGGCAGGAGATGCTATCAGTGGGCACTGGTGAGGATAGGGTCATTTGAGACGCTTCTGTGGTCCCAAAGGAGGAAGCCAAAGCCTTAAAGGTCTCATGCAGCTGCCGAGCCGAGGAGAGGTGTGTCTCGCAGTCCGGGCCCCCCGCAGCAGAGGTAGTAGTCAATCGGGAAACGAGGCCAAGGGAAAGACGCTCCAGGATGCGAGCCACGTGCGGTACGTGGAGACGGATGTGCAGTGCAACCGTGCTCTCAGTGCTAAGATGCGACTGCGAGCGAGCCACTGCACGAAGGTGTCTGGTATAAACGGCCTGAACCTGGCCAAGTTGTCGCGCCGAGAGGGGCAAGACATGAAGGCCGTACAGCATGGTAGGTACCACACTGGCAGTCCAGAGGCGTCGCCGTAGATCAAGACGAGGAGCAGATGCCTTGGTCAGCAGTGGTCGAAGACGTGTCCAGGTGGCCCATCCCTGCTGTATGCGATGCCGAACCGAGTCACCACAATAGTCATGGTAAGAAATGATCAGGCCAAGGTAGGGGTGACTGGATTTAACCGGGATCTCATGCGCGCGCCCGGACGGGGTGCACAGCCGAAAGAGCTGACCCTCCTCAGTCTGTTTGAGGTAGCTGCGGAGACTGGTGGTTGCGAAGCCCGCAGTGACCCTGAACAGTATCGCGGATTTCGTACAAATGATGATCATGTGTGCTCCCTCGAGGACATCAAGGAGAAGACCAATGCGGTGAACAGCTCGGGGGAGATCAGCCTTACGATAAAGGGTTTCACCACAGTGGAAGTCGTCTGCAAAAAGTGTGAGTGATCGGGCGGACCAGGAATGAGTGGTAGTCGCGGTCGCCATGCCAACCTGCGCATCACGTTTTTGGACCAGCACCGCCGTCGCAAGGGCCCACAAGAGCGGGGCTATCCTGCAGCCCTGACGCACTCCGCGGCCCACGTCAATGGAAGCGTGAGCCTGACCAACACGAATGTGGTAAAAGAAGTGACAGTGCCAGAGGACAACCAAGCGATGGAGATCATGAGGGACTTGTGCACTGCGCAGCGCTTCATGGACCAGCTGCCACTCGAGACGGTCAAATGCTTGAGAGAGATCTAACGATACTTGGAGACCCCCGCCTCGGGACATACATACATACATACATACATACATACATATATATATATACTGTGCATAAGAAGCATCAAGACATACATGCATTGCAGTTTCATACAGTTCCGGACGCAGCGAAGACGAGTCCGCCTATACAGTTACAAACATAAACACATATATACATATATACATACATACATACATACATACATACATACATACATACATACACACACACCTACATCCATCCATCCATCCATCCATCCATCCATCCATCCATCCATCCATCCATGCATGCATGCATGCATGCATGCATGCAGACACACACAAACATACAAAGATACATAGATACATAGATACATAGATACATAGATACATAGATACATAGATACATAGATACATAGATACATAGATACATAGATACATACATACATACATACATACATTTTTTTATCATTCGTAGCGATGGAGTCGAGTACGACGCACGCCTAGCAACATGAATTCAGGTGAAACGGAAAGGAAAGTCAGCGGAGCAGCAAAATCCAAGGGCCTCAAACCACGAGCGGCAAATGGGCAGAGACACCCAAACTCCAGGGCAGTTGAGCACAACTCGGCGTTGCGGTGCTTCTACGATGCAGGCTGCCAGCACTGTACAGGCATCCTCAGCCCAAGTGGCAATGCCTTTGCCAACACTGAGGGGCATGCTGACAGGCTCATCAACCAGGAAGGTGACAGGTGGAGGCGGCATTAGCTGTTTAACCTCAACTGCGCCAGAGGAGGCAAAGCAAAGTCGCCGTGGAAGACCCCAAGAAGGGGAATCGTGCCGCATGGCTGCCGAGGGCTCTTGGCACGTGGGAAGTTATCAGCCGTAACCGACGGGTCAAGTAGCAGCAGAACGTTTTTTGCTGTCTCACCATGCCAAGGACTTGCAGCATGCTTGTTTTTCCACGCAGTGACGGTGGCGCGTAGGACGCTCAAGGGCTCGATGTGGTCCTCCACACATGCCCAGACAATGTCCTCGTCTTCACCTTCAAAGGCTTCAAGCGCAGCCAGAAGCCGGGCAGAGATGCCTTCGTGCTGGTCAGCAAGGGGGGCGCCACCCAAAAGAGAACCAGGAACCTGCTCAGGGGGTGCCAGGGTATGGCGAGCATCTGTAGCAGCTGGCTCGATGTTCGGGACAAACTTCCCCCAGTTTCTTACACAGGATGGGACAAATATCACATGTCTCCTGAGGCGCCCTGCCGAGGCAAAAAGTTGCCCACAGGATCGGCACAGGTTCCCGTGGGCAAGCAAATGCGCCTTCGATCTGTATCCATGAAGTCGGGCTGCGTGACCAGCCCACGACACACGATCAAGGAAGGCCCTTTTGCATGGGAGGCACATCTCCATATATTCTGAGGTCTCGAGTGTCTTGTCGGACTGAATGACACCTGCATGTTCCCATGCCACACGGTGCAAACGGTCAAGGGAGTCGACAAAATGCAACCTCAGCTGGTCCAAACGGCAAGCTCTTTTGAGGATACCCTTAGAGGGCTCTGGTTTAGCAGAGATTAGGTCTAGCCACTCGGGCCAGGAGCTGTGCGGGTGTCCCAGAGATGTGGTAGTATGGACCCACTGGAAAAGCCACCTCAAGTCGCCCTGCAATAATTCTGCGTATGGCCTGTCTGCTCTGGTCGCCGCCCAAACAACATCCGGCGCGGAAACGGCCAGCTGGCAAAGATATCTCATGCGGCAAGCCGCCAGCAGAGCGTCAGGGCTCGGCAGGCCAGTTATGGCGTAGCAGCGCAGTGCAGTGACATTCTGATCAGCTTGGCGGGGAATGCAGACGAGACCACGATAAAACTGCCAAAGCGCTGTTTCGAAGGACTGCCGGTCACGTTTGGTAAGTGGCGGCCAGGATCCGGCTCCCTGGGTCAGCTTTGACAGCACCATAGATTGAAGAATCAATGCACGACGCTTGATGTCAATGGCCTTGTTCTGGTAGATCTTGCGGCGTCCCTCATGGTATGCACACATACATACACACATACATGCATACATACATACATACATACGTACATACATACATACAGTTACATAGTTGCATACACACATGCAGCTACATGCAGTTACATGCAGATACATGCAGATACATGCGCGATGCATGCACATACATGTCATATATTCTTATACAGACATACATAAATACATACACACCATGCTATGTTACGCTACATTACGCTACGTTGAGATATATATGGTCCACCATATATATATATATATATACACGCTCAACCGTCATGCGGCTAAACGCTACATGGCGCGGCGCGACGTGACCCTCTACGATATGCGATACGTTATGCTGCACTTTAAGCCGCTATATTCTTGCAGGTCATGTTTTATCACTTTGCGCTACATACAGCTATACAGTTCAGAAGCGGATAGGCACGCTGCCTCTGCCTCTGGCGGTGTGGAATAGTACGCAGAGCCTGCCAGCTATTGCCTTTAATTGAACAGGTTCAAGTCACGGGGCTGAGCGCCCGGCTTCGCTTGTACGACTCCATGGCGACAGTCTGCGACTCATAGATCTCCTGCCCAGGCTTAGTTAGGGAGCTTGCCACTTGTCCTCTCGGGCAGGCGCCCACCTCCATCACGTCCGGCCACGGGAGTCTCTTTTTTGCCGGGCAGCCCGGCACCCTGGCGAAATGCTGTGGCTATGTATTCGCTGGGTCAGGTGAGCTCAGGGGGCTCGGGACGGCACAGTGGACGCACCACGCTCAGCGCTGCGTCGGGCAGACGGACCTGGTGCTGCTTTGTGCAACCACTTGACCGCCAAAGAAGGTACAAGGTCCAGCCTTCAGGGGGATTCCTTGTGCCTTGGCCTTCTCCACCACCGCCTGACCTCGGGTGCAAAGTGCCGTCCCCTCGTGTGCATCCTTGAGGGCCGAGGGCCGCCAAATGCCGCCAAGCTTCGCTGCTTCTCCTCATCTGTCAGAAGGCCTGCGCAGAGACGCGAAAGAAGGGGCACCGAAGTGCATCAAAACGCGGCAAAGCACCAACGCCGCGCCGCAGGGCCTGAGGGTGGCCGGGGTGGCTCTTCGCTGCCAGGTCCTGCTTTTGCAAGCCATCAATTTGGGCGGCTTTCTTGGGGGTGGGGAAATTCCAAGACTCCCGACCCGCCGGCCTGCATTGGAATCCCAGCCCGGAGGGGCACGTGGCTCGGAGCCCGCGATCTCCGGTGGCGGGTTGGCCGGGGGCGCACAGGGCACCTGAGCAGGTGACTGCACGCACCCGACTCCGCTTGAAATCGGATTTGTTGGGACTTGGCCCGGCTGCAACACTCGAGCAGTCATCATGCTTCGGTGCAGCTCTCAAACAAAACTTGGGCTGCGAGACCTGAATGGATCTCACATTGTTGCCCCTTTCGGCCCCTACCTTGAGATCCTGATGCGAGAAAGCGGGGCAGGGAAAGGAACCGCCCTGATTTGCTCCAAAACCCGCCCAAACTCCCTCTCTTCTGCCCCACCCCGCGAAGCGACAACACAGTTGCCCCTTACACGAGTAATGCGCACTCCTTCAGCCGGAGTTGCAGAGATGGGTGGCGTCTGCAAAGGAACGCTTGACCTTGGCCAGGTTGCATCGGCCTGAGCAAGTACACGGTAGCTCGTAACACTCCAAGGGAGCCTACCATAGTCCACCCTATAAACCCTGTAAGCCCATAAGGCTTTAAGGGCCTCTGAAGTTTAAACCACCCCTCCGAGGCCGCTTTGACGCCGAGGCTCCACGAGACCTGGGGGTGCAGTGATGGTCTGAGCTGGCCCGGTGCACGCCTCACAGAACAGGGGCTGTTGGACTTGCAGCTTCCCAGGACGTCCTGCAGCCGTGGCACGACAGGCTGGGTTGAGAGCATCGTTCACAGTCTTGACTGACGATGCCGGATTGCAGCTACCGTCAGCTACTCAGCAACACCTTCTCAAGGCACTGTCCGAAATGGCTGCAGAGTCGCTCAGGTGACGTTCAAGCAGAAGGACAGATCGCTGCCAGCTTCAGACCCGGACCGTTCCACCACGGGGTCGGTGGGCCCGGAGCCATTTGAAGCTGCAGGTCGTAGGCCGTTATGCCTGCAGCTTGTTGGATGCTGCAGGCTCCCAAGCCTAGACAAAGAGACCACTGAGCTGCCCGCGCATGCCGCCGGTGAAGCCCCGCACCCAGGCAACCTCTAAGGAGCTGGTGGTCCTCAGAGAGCATCGCGGCAGAGGAGCGCATGAAAGAGCCCTTCCCTCGGCTCCTGCTTTTCAAAGTCGGAGCTTGGGGTGTAAACGGCACGGTGAAGTTTGTCTGCAAGGTGCGGTTCAAGTAACTCCTCGAGTTCTCGAAGAGGTCCTGAGCCATCGCTGAAACACGACCCCAAGGCCCACGCCCCGGCTAGCCCCGCGCTCATCTACAGCGCCTGGTATGAGATGGACAGCAGGTACTCCGAGAGCGGCTGCAAGTAGGAATAGACCGGGGTCCCTGGCTCGCCCCGCTTGTCTGGCCCCGGGGGCCCTCCCACATCATCCCACATCTCCACATTTTTCCCCCGCCTTTTGACTCGAAGCTTCGGATGTCCGGGTGCGGCAGAGCCTCAGCCGGGCACTGCGACCTGAGGCCCTTTTGGGCCCTTTTGAGAAGGTTCCCCCAAAAAACCGGGCCTCATCGTTGATGTCGCGAAAGAGGTTGGAAGGGCTCAACCTTCCGGGTCTCTCAGTCTCTCCCTCTCCCTCTCTCTCCCCCCCTCCCTCTCTCT